GAAGCAGCCTGAACAGAGTTCTGAGACCAGGTGTGCTCCCCTCCCAAATAAGGAATCATCGCCAAAGGGGTTATATTGCAGCCCAAACCACTTATATGAGATTGCTCATTCCCATCTGGATCATCCCTGCACTGATATGGGGGCTCTCCAATAGAAACGACAGGATCTTCAAGAGGCCTACTCGGTGGAACTCTGCTTGGTTCAAACCAAGGAAGAGCTGAAGGGGCAACTTCACGTCTGTCATGTTGAAGCTTCTCTTTAAGTTTTTCTTTTTTCTCTAGATTTTGGCCAGTCTTGAGAGACCAAGTTTCTCTGAAAAAACCCGAAGAGGAGCTACTCTGGGCTCGCAACTCAGGGCCAAACTGGCTTTTTGAGCCCAACTTGCCTCGATCCATACATTGACTTTGCGCATGACCAATTCGACCACACAGGTAACAAAAGTCCGATAATCTCTCGTACTTCTTAACTAATTCAATTGATTGTGTTAATTTTTTTCAATAGTTTTAAATATTCTTCATTATTTATTTAAATATATTACTGTCACCAATTTATACCTTGTCGCCAAACTCTAACATTATATATTTTTGTAATATTTTTTGTTTTCTCAGTACGTAACACTTATTTATTATTACTAGCAATGCACGTGAATCTATTTAAATAATATTTTTTATAAAAAAAATTAAATTATATGTATAATTAAATTGAATAATAAATTATGTAATTTTAATTATTGCCAAATCTAAAAACGGTCATTATTGAGTATTTGCACATCTAATTAAATTATAAATTTATTACATTTTTGTCATAAAAATTAATTAAATTACACTATTATTGTTTGTATTGTGATAATATGATATTGTTGTATACCCAAAAATCAATTATAATGTATATTGGATAGTAGAATAAAAGAATATAGATTGAACTTTATTTCTTAATATAAATATAGACATAGAAATAGAAAATCGCATATAAGTGTAATACTAATAAATGAGTCCAAAAGAATTTAAAAATCAAATACGGTTAATAATAGATTCTAAAAAAACTTAGAAGACAAATATATAAAGAAAATAAAAATTGAATGAAAGTAATATATAATTTAAAAGTCAAATATTGTGAATAAAAGAGTTTAAAAGAACTTAAAAATTAAATAAATATAAGAAATAAAAATTAAAGAAAACTAATATATGGGTATTATTGACTTTATAATAAAAGCAATGGATAAAATAGAAAATGAAATTTTTTGAACAAATGTTGATATTTATAAGTAAGTATAGATATAGATATAGATAAATGTATATGAATTACAAATAGAGTAATTCTAATATAGCTATATTATGATTGAAGAAAAAAATACCAAAAAAAGAAAAAGAAAAAGAAAAAACTCATATAGATGGATACCCCCCGTACTTTGCATATATGCTCAACAAAGTGTTACTTATATGACGATTCTCGTGGAGACAAATTTCAATGAAGAGATAGAGAAAATTCAACTTTAATAATCAAAGTTCCATAAATATAAACTAAAAATGCATATAGCTATATACCTAATTAGAACTAACATAGTCATCATACTGTCGAGGTTCAACTAAAAAAAAAAAAATAGAACTAACATAAAAAAAGTCTCAGTAAATATTTACTCAGAAGTCAATTTACTCTATATTGCATTACAAATAAATTAAATATCTGGGGCAGCTGCAGGTTAGGTTTGATAACCCAAAATTAAAATTTTAGCCCAAACATAAGATTTGAGGGTCCTTGAACTATTTTTCCCAAATCCTAAACATCAATCCCTCTCAAACCCACGCAACAAACAGGACCTAAGAGTGTGAAATGAAAATTTTAAAAAAAATTAGGATATAAAGTGTAAAAAGCCCAGATAATTATGTATCTACAATGTGGAAAGAGGTTTTCCATCAAGAAGATGCTATGAAATTTCCATCTAAACCCAAAATTTTCATCCCACTATCTACGGCTACGCGTAAAATTAAAAGACAACATTTTGAGTACTTATTATTGGTCCCTACATTTTTAGTCCTTATTGTAACCAAGTTGCTAAAAAAAAATTCATCTAAACACAGTCTCTAAGAAATGGAGATTAAGAAACATGTAGCTTTTACGACTTATCACATCACACCGTGTTATTTTTCGGTGTTATATTGAATTAAGAATTAATACTATATATTTTTTTTATTAATTTAGGTCTTATTGAATTAATTTTATTAATTTGATCGCTAAAGTAATCAATTTCTGTCACTTTGATCCCTACATAGATGTAATGTCAAGTTTTTTTGACAGAAGTGACCACATGCCATTTTTTTAAGATGGTATAACATGCCCAACAGGGGTGTCTGTGTATGTGTTTATCGATTTATATTACTAAAAAAGTACCTTAGATTAAAAACTTTTAAATCTCTATTTTACCTTTATAAAAGATTGTAAAAACCATTTTATCATTTCACAATTAAATATCTAAATTACTATCATATCCTTATATATTTAAATCTCCAAAATAACTGTAACATCTCTTTTAATTATTTGTTTTCTATGTATAAATATTTATTTTTTGATTAACTATATATATATATATATATATTATTTTTCATCGGAAAGTTGAACCCTTTCATTTTTAAGATAAAAAATAATCATATATATAACTTTTTTAAATCAATTTATGTTTTATCAATATAATTCTTCAATCACAATAAATTTTAGGATAAATTATATTGACAGTCATGTAGATTAGTCTAATTACATGAACACTCCCTCAATTTTTTGAAATTACACTGATACCCCATGTTAGGTCTTGTCCCTTAACAAATATAATAAAAAATACAATTTTTCATAATTACCCTTACCATACATCATTTTTTTATTTATCATTCTCTCATATATTTAAATACTAATAAATGGATCATTTTTGGGTTAAATTCGTCAAACATGAAATTGACACAATCAACCCGTTTTATTTAAGCGTATCAAATTTCCTCTATTTTCTCATTTGTATGTCAACACGAACAACACGGAATTGCAATGATCCATATGTTTAACTGATATTATAAAAATAAAATATTAATTATTAAGCACTAACATAATTATTGTATAAAAAAAATATTTTTACTCATTATTATTGCTATGTTTATTAAGTTAATTTTTAGTTTATCTAAAAAGTACGAGAATGGATTCACTTAAGTAATAATAGAACCTTAGACTTAAATCTTAAGGTTAAATTTTTTCATTTAAAATTTATATGAGTCAACACGAATACAATTACACCTGTACGGGTAGCCCAGCGGTGTGGAGTTGAACCCAGACAAACCATAGGCCCGGACGTCAGGGGTTTGACTCTCGCTGGTGTTTCTCGGATTTAATTGATACCTATGATTTGCGAGTAATTGCAGGTATCCGGGGTTTACTCTCTCAAGAATGGATCCAAAGTGGTCTTACCATGGAGAGGTTCCATGATATAAAAAAGAAATATGAATGCGAACACGAACACGATACGAAAATAAATAGGCTAGTCTAAATTTATCCAGGGCTAATATGAGTATTAAAGTATAAATAGTTGATGATGTCATCATTTTTTTGACATTGCTAATAATGATGATAACCATCAGGATACTTTGTGAAATGAGTAGGTAAATAGTAATGGATGTCGGTGTAATTTCAAAAAATTGAGGGGTGTCTCTGTAATTAGACCAATGTATAGGGATGTTAGTGTAATTTATCCTAAACTTTATAAGTTGTACTAAGATTTATATATATATATATATATATATATATATATATAAATAAATATTGTAATGTATTTCTAAGTAAAACTTGAATTCTTTAGAATTATAATATTTGATAATATAAATTATAGAATAGTATATTAAATCTTATTCCAATTGACCTAACTTATTTTTAAATGCAGTAAGGTTCAAATGTAATTAGTATATTAACAATTACTTTTATTTTATTCAATGAATTATAATTGAAATCCTAATTAAATGAATTTCAAAAAATTTAATTTCTCAAACATCACTGAAAAAATCAATCTTAATCAAAAAATTCTAAAAATATAGGACTTTAACTATTTTTTTAAATTTTTTTATAGTTAGAACAAAGAATTTTGGAAATATATAAAATTTTCATAATCTTATAATAAAATATAAGCAATAAAAAATTAAAATTTGTAAATTTGAGATGATATTTAATTCAAATACATATATACCTAATATATTTTATTAATTTTTGTATACAAAAATTATTCACGTGTAACGCACGTAGTGCATTTCTAGTTCTTATAAACACTTTTAAAAAGTTATCCCAAACATACCCTTAAAGACCTATTTTTCATATTAAATTTGGGGTATTAACATTAGTCATTGCATTAATTTTAAAATAAAATTTAAAAAAATTTCAACCACGAAGAGTAAAAATCATTTTGTTTATCTTTTGAGATTTGAATTGTATTGTATTTTATTATATAAATATTTTGGATTGGAGCCAAAATTGTTAATCAATTATAACCTTGATGTTAAGGGTTAAGTCATAACTGACGTGCAGAGCTACATTTCTCAGACTCCCTCAATGACAAGAATCTCGTGTACTGAATTGTTCGTTTTAGCCAAAATTGTGAATCCATAAAATAAAATTAAGTGTAAATGAGTTGCATTGCCCAATGATAAAATATGGTAAAACATAAAACTTTCTCTCTCTTTTGATTTCATTATTATTGGGCAATTGCAAACATTCACAAATGAGCTTAATTTATTTTAGAGAGACCCATCTACCCAAACATGCATTCGTTACTTCAATCCTAACTTTTATTAAAATCTTTTCTCCGTTTCTCTCTCTTCCACCATGCATGCCAATTATGTGCTTTCTAGCAGAACTTCAGACCCTGAAAATCACAGAAGGTTAAAAAAACTCAATTATATTACGGTTACTAAGGTCAAATATAGTGGATTAATTGTAGTAAACTTGGTATAGTAAAACCAACCGATACATATGACTTACTAGTGATAATCAATTTTGATTATTCCGGCCACCGGATTTGCTATCGTTGCGAAAGCTTCTCTAGAGAGGTCTAGGGTTCCGCCGCATCCGGGACAATGATCCACTATTTTGACTATCACACTATTGCCTGTGCATGGGTGTGGCACAGGATTAGTTGGTCCTGTGCATGTAACATTGTACATTTTCCCGCATATAGCTCCGTTTGCCCAAAGGGGATCACTGGCTGCAGCAATCATGACGCCATTGTTCTGGTTGCGATAACATGCTGAGGCTACAAAGTAAATGAACTGTAGATATATAAGCAATGCTCGAATGTATAAATTCGATAATTTAAGTACTATTTGGTAACGATTATTGACAGTATTTTTTGCTGCTGTTGTGATTTCTTAAAGTCTTTTTTTAAGAAACATTTGTTTTTGTATTTTTTTTTCCTTGGCAAGGCTTTTTTTTTTCTAAATATAATCACATGTACAGGTATATACAATATTACACATATAAAGAGTATAGTTTATGTATCAAAATGAGTGTAGATCTCTTTTGTAAAATAGTGATTAAATATGCTTTTACCCTTTTTTTTTTTAATGAAATTGCTTTTTTGCTTAAAAATTTCTTAATGATATCTGAATTTTTTTTCTTTTTGCTTTATTGGGGGAGGGGTGGGTTTAAATATGACAAATACTCGATATGAACCCATAATGACATCAACTAAATATAATATAATACAACGCAATTTACACTGAAAAATAATCTACCAAAACTAGCATGATACAATACCACTTGAACATAGATGTTTTTAATGAGAGGGAGAGAGAGATGAAGAGATAAAAAGAAGCAAACTATACTCACGAACATAGTTTGTGTAGAAAGTGGCAGTCCCTGGTGTAGCAGATACACCTAAGATTAGGCTCAAGACAACGCAAATGGTAGTAAGAACACTCATCCCCATAGCCATCTCTCTTTGAAGTGGATATTCAGTAAACAGATTTAGATAATTAGATTGGTCACTACCTTGCAAATGCATCAAACTCAAAAGGGCCGGTAGCCCTTTTATAGTTAAAAGTTAGGAAACCCTAAACAATAACACATCGAATTAAAAAAAAAAAAAAAAAGTAATTCAGCACACAAAGTTCCTGCTATTGTCAGGTCTGTAGGAGAGTCAATCATCCACCATACATATAAATCATTGAATCTAAAGAGATATCGTTGCTAGATTCGAAAGAGTTAATACAATGCAATGAAGATGCAACATGTAGAAGAGTACCATGATATGTTGTATTGCATACACAATAAGATCTTATCAAAATAGTATTTGATTAAACACTCTTGTTAAATTTGATAAACTGCTCGGGATGGAAAGGAGACATAATTCATAATAGCCAAGAATACGTAGATATTTGCTACGGATAAGTAAATGTTGTTCTTCACATTAATAGGATTGAAGGCTCAATCAAAGGAGATATAAGGGAAGATCTATATTGTGTGGTTGCTCCAATCAATATTTATGAGACTTATGGGGTTTGGATCCTCTTCAATGCATCTTTCCTAAATTTCTCTCAATTCTAGATAACCCACCATATATTGATAGTGAAAAAACATAAATAGAGTATGTATCACTTAAATTTAACATAATGTGATACCTCGTCATTATTGATGTGTGATCTTACCATCCAATTATAAACAAACACATGAACTAATAAACCTCCACTTAATGCATATGTAGTAGTTATGGATTGTGGACGTGGCACATATTGAATTATTAGCACACGTATTTAGCTCATAACTAAATGGTGATATCACATTTGATAATGATGTGGTTTACTTCCTCATATCAGTACGATAGACAAAGATGAAAGTTTACTTCCTCTTGACATAGTACAATATAAATTTATTTCACCATATGACAGTACAATATACATGCTCTCTGAGCATCATCTATGGAAAACATCTGATTTCTATGACAAGTTGACTCTTATTCCATCATAACAATAAGGGTGAGGGGACCTAAAAACGGAAAGCAGTAGATCTTTTTTTTATTCTTTTCTCTTTGGGGTGTAAACATAGAGTTTATTATTCTTGATTGCTTGAAATCTTTGCCGGAGATCGAGCTTCAAACCCTGAAATCAGAATAATAAAGTTGTGTTAATAGGGCATACTTACCGACTCGTATAGAACGCATAGTTAAATGTCATTGCTTGGGCTCACTTCGTTTATCAAACGATTTTAAGATTGAGCTCGAGCTTAATTATTTGATAATTGAATAAGCTTTAAGAAATGGGTCACAAACTGTTAATGACAAACTCGAATAATTTGCAACTCTAAGCAGAAATAGCAAGAACGCATCCCTCGGCCCCTTGACTGCATCATGGAAAGTCAAAAAAATTATGTAAATAAAGGAGTATAGGTGTCTGCATTACTCAGCGTAGTCAATATTGATTCTCCCAGCTGCAGGATCGGCAATGGCGGAGAAGGCTTCAAGAGAGAGATCGAGGCCATTTGCTGCGCAGCCTGGACAGCGATCAACGACCCTCACAGTCACGCTGCCACCCCTGCATGGCTGTGGTACGCCTTGGTTCGTCGGTCCTGTGCATGTAACTCTGTACCTTCTTCCACATACTGCTCCATTGTTCCACAGGGCCTCACTTGCTGCGGCAATCATTGTGCCTTGGTCTTCAAACCCATAGCATGCCGACGCTGCAAAACGAGAAAGTTTAATTTGATTATGGGGAAAAATCTTGGATTTGTTAGTATGTCAAAAAAAGTTTGGATCTAATAAGGTCATATTACAATGTAATAAGCTCAAAATCGACAAGAATCGGTCCTAAATCAATTTCATTGAGTTGTACTTTTGCATGTTGAAGTCATAGCTTGAACCGATTAGGTCATAACTGTTGTACGATACCAAAAATGAGTTGAATCTTTGCACTCTAGCTACATCTTACATGATTCCAGGACTAGAACTTCAACGATGCCAGGAACATACATTTAGAAGTGTCTAGATCTTCTGAGAATACCGAAACTCAAAAATGGATTTTAGCACAAAACAGTTGCACAATGAAAATCGAATGGTCAAAATATGGTTGTCACATGCACAAATTTCAAAATTTAATATATGACAAAGACCTAACCGCACAATTCGAATCGTATTCGGTTTGGATCGAAATGCAAGTCCTAAAATTTGGCCCAAATTCTTTTTTGGAAGTTAATATTCACCCAATTTGAAAATGGTCAAAATTCTATACACATGGAGGGAGAGAGAGAGAGAATGGGTATACTTACGAACATAGACTGTATAGTATGTGGCAACTCCAGGGACGGCAGAGGCCATAGAAAATAGGGTTGTGGCAATAAACACCACAATGATAAAACGCTGAATTGCCATTTTTCTTTGATGAAACACTTAAAAAGCTTTCGCTACCTTTATACACTAATGCTTGTGCAAGTACACAATTTGCTCTGCTTCAAATTGGATTGCAGAATGGTCCTATTTATAGAACCAGAATGTCTTCTTTTGTGAGCAACCAGTCTTTACACGTTTTGTCTTGCTCTTTTTTTTTTTTTAATTTCAGTAAATGTTTTTCAAGTCTATGGTAAGAAATACCTTATTGTTTGATGGATAGGCCTGTAGTTGTGTATGGCTTTGTAACCATCTCTACAAGTCATTTAATCTGTCTTCTAGAGTCTGCTGTCAGAAATTGACTCATCACCTGGACAAATATTAAAATAAATGGTTTACATTTCAACAAAAAATTTAATTTTCTTTCCACTTTTTTACGCCCAATTTTGGGGATAGATTTTCTACCATGGAATGTAGATGCATCCCTCTACTTTTCGTTCACTTTACTTGTTGGGTATTGTATGTACATGTGGGAATTCTGATAGAAAAATAAGTTTAAGTGCCATAATACACAATGAATGAGCTCACCACTTACAAGCTTAAGCTTTTAAGTGGGTATAAGTTCCAGTAATGTGCAATGGAACTTGGATCTTTGGGCTCCTTGACTCCCAACACTTATTTTCTATGTTTCATTTATTTTATCGATCCCTTTTTTTTTATCCTGCCATCTTTTTACCTTTCTAGTTTTTCATCGTACTAAATGCCGCAAACAGAAGAGAGATATTGCGGGTAGGTAGCGTTACAAAAGCGATACCAGAAAACCGATGGCAAGAAGATCGATAGAGAGATTCAAATGCAACGGATCCCTCTCTTACAAGAGTTGCTGGGTTACAGATTGAACCACTGGGGCCAATGACGTGCACAAAGAATTTCAGTTACATGCTTGCAACCCGCAGCCGTGCCAAACTTTGCTTGAAAGCATACAAAGGACAAGAGCTTGATGTTGCATAGTCAATAGAGGACCACAGAATTTCCCAATTTTCTACAAATCTAATGATTTTACCTGGCCAGAATTTATGCATATGGTTCAAAGATTAGTTTTCATTACAAGAAGTATCCTAATTTTTTCATTTTAACCATAATACGACTACAAAAGATCAAGACAGCAGATGACTTGTTGACTCATTAAATAAATAGCGCCTGCAAGAGTGTCAATTAAGTCATGCCGCATCATTTTTATATCATGTTTAAATAGTTTCATTTTTGGTATGATGTTCGTGTCAATATCTGTATTGAACGATACTATTTAATTTTAAAACAATTCATACCGTAGTAGATAAAAAATTCAAAATGCTTAATTTTTTTTCTAGTATTAACTAAACTTGTTATTTATGTTTGAGAATAACATGATAGATAGATTATTTATGTTAGTCGTGTCAGTTTTAACTCATATGGTATATGTCGGTTTTGTACTATATTCGTGTTAATGGGTGACATTGACAACCTTAATTTACCAAGTCCAACATTGCAAATGATATTTTTGGGTTTGAATTGGGACTAGTGAATTTTTGTCGAACACAGCAACACAACAAGAATGATTTCATGAGAATTTCAATATTGCGATCAAATTCTGGCTACACTTCTCATCGACGCTTGTGTTAGGATGGAACTTTTCAAACTAGAAATTTCAGTCAATGAAGAGGCTTGAAACTTATGCATAACGACTAGCTCATTATATTTATCTGGAAAACAAATGTGGCTTAGAAGAGTTTTAATGTGAATTCATAGACAATTTTATGGCAATAACTGCCCCTTCGTTGAAATCGGAGGTACTTGAAACAGGTACAAAATTTTTTGATTAAAGCTGCCAACCGATGCGAGTATGTCTCATCCAAATCCATTCAAATTTGTCAAACTAATCGATACTTTTAAATCGGTAGTAGATATATAGCAATAGAGTTCATACGAATTATCGAATTCATGTACCTTCATTTAAATATTGTAGTAGTTTTTCACCAATTAAAGCAACTTGGACTCCTAAAAGAGAACCATTACACCATGCCAGCATGTAACTATTTAATAATAAAATTATAAAAAGGATAAAATAGGGTTTACTTCCTATCATGGAGTTGATTATGTATTACATGACATAGTGATTATGAGTTTAAGGGGGGTCTATTTGCTGATTTGTGTATCTATTATTGAACGATTATATCACGTAATAATGCTGACATGGTGTAACAGTTACCCTGTAACCTCAATCAGTTGGAAGGCTTCAAATTTAAGCAAATTACATCTTATATACTTACAGATTTGCAAATGATAATATAGAGAGAGAGAGAGAGAGAGAGAGAAGAAGAAGAAGAAGAAGAAGAAGAAGAAGATCATCACACAGTAAGATGAGCAAAGCTAAATGTTTATTTCATCATATGACATATTAAATAGTTATCCAAGCCATCTTTGTGTCATTCATGGAAAAACATCCATTTTCCATGCCATGTTGCCTCTTATTCAACCAAAGAAAGATAAGCACAAGACCTTTTTTTTTTTTAGTTTACTAATAATGAGTAAAATAGCATCTTATTTTGGATGGCTTGAAATTTCTCCTGTGAACCTTCAAACCCTGTAAACAGAAGAAAAACAACGTATTTTGTTAGGGCACACTTAACTACTTGGAAATAATGCATATATAGGTGAATAATATTAATTTACAAGAATGCATCCAGTTGGTCGCTTGACTAGGGGTGCAAACGAAGCGAGTTTTTCATGAATAATTCTTCATAACAGTTCTGAATCGTCTCAAATAATTGTTTTTTGTCAATTTATCAAAAGAATCGAGCATGTACTCAATTTTAAAGCGTACATAGTAAATTAGTTGAATCTGAACAATGAAATCTTCATCTCGTTAGCCTTGTGAACATGCATGTTTATTATATTTTGTGCATGTTATAACTTAATATATAATTATGTGTAAACAAGTACAGCTTCATCTTATACACAAGTCTAAACTCGAGTACACACTAAAAATTAATGAGCTTGGCTTCACTAGCGGAGGCACATTAGGCCTAGAAGCCTTTTCCCACCTTCAAATTCCTGTCTATATTTTTTAAATTTATTTGTGCTCACCCTAAACACTCTATCGGTTGTAAATTCAGACGTTTTTAATTCGAACATTGACAACTCCTTAAGGTTAGGCCATGAGGGATTTATCCCTCGTAAATTCCTTAATCTCGACATGAATGACATGCCTTTGACTGAACCAAAGATGAGATTAATCAAGGTGTGTGTAAATTGCATCTAGACACCTCTGATCGTTGGAAAAAAACAAATAGTCTACCGAACAATTTGATGCCCGGATCCATTCAATTTATTTACACTCACTCTGATCTCACCACTGAAAATTAAAAAAAATGCGAGAAAAAAAGAGTTAAAAAAGAGTTTATGTGATGTATTACTGAGTGAAGTCGATGTTGATTCTCCCAGCATCAGGATTAGCAATGGCAGAGAAGGCTTCAAGAGAGAGATCGAGGCCGTTCGATGGGCAGCCGGGACAGAGATCGACGACCGTCACAGTCACGCTACCACCCTTACATGCCCCTGCAGGTCCTGTGCACGAAACGCTGAACCTTGTTCCACATATTGCTCCATTGTTATATAGGTCCGGACTTGCTGCAGCAATCATCGTGCCTTGGTCTTGGTACCCATAGCATGCTGAGGCTGCAAACAAAACAATATAGTTTACAGTAAGGTTAGTAAGGTTGGTTTTAAAACCTATCATAACTTGTGTTTTTTGGATGGCAATATTGAATTCCTCATTTGGAAAAGACTACTTATTATATATATCCAAAAATTTGATATTAGTACGATTTAATCAAGTCAAATTATGACTCAGTTATGTCAAAATTACGACTAAAGAAATCCGAATCACCTCCATTGAATCGTAATATCCCATTTGAGTTATAACTTGCCGTGATTGAATTGTATCTTCAGTCCAGTAATAAAAATATAATTTGCTACTATAGGCTTTTCCTCATTTTCTGACTATACATAAAATATTTTGCTACTACAGTTTACATACTACATCATTCCATTCCAATATTATAACTGCAACCATGACACAAACCACACCCACATATAAATGTAGGCTGAAATTCAAAGGGTGATCTATAGCCCAAAACAGTTGCACAATGATAATCTTGCAGCTCAAAATTTGAACTCGAATCCTACCCATACAATTCTAATTGTGTTCAAGTCGGATAGAAGTTCATCAATTGAATGTCGACCCTAATTCAGATGATTCAAATTCTATGCAATCCAGAAAGAGGGAGAGAATAAGTATACTTACGGACATATACTGTGTAGTATGTGGCAATCCCAGGAACGGCGGATGCAGCAGAAATTAGTGTTGTGACCATAAACGCCACAATGATAAGACGTGAAATTGCCATTTTCCTTTGATCTATTTGTGGGACAAAACCTTAAGCTAGCTCTCCACCTTACTACACTTGCACAAGTACACAGTGTGCTATGAATAAAATTTGATAGCCGAATGGTCCTATTTATAGAACCAGATTGTGTTCTTTGGTAACCAAGCAGTCTTTACACGTTTTCTTGGTCTTTTTTTCTTTTGGTAAATGTTTTCAACTCTATAGGAATAAATTATCGCTAGAAGGGACTAGTAGTTGTCTATGGTTTCGTAATCATCTCAAATAAATGTTATTTATCTTCTGGAGTCTGGTATCCGAAAAAGACTCGTTACCTGGACAAGGATGAGGTTAAGGTACCAAAAAAAAAAAATTATAATTTTTTCTTTGGTCCGGTCAAAAGCAGGTTATCCACACCAAAATTAGGGTATTCATGAAAAATAAATCATTCATTATCTGGCTCCAAGAAATTACTAAGATTCAAACTCATGACGTCTAAATTTATAATTCGTCTTTATTATCACTTGAACTATCTTTTCGGACTGATGATATTAATTCTAAATGTGACAAATTGAGCCACTTGGTCCACATGATGTACCCCCCAAAGAGTTTCGGTTAGAAGCCACCACCCAAAGCCGTGCCAAACTTTGCTTGAAATCATGCATAGAACAAGGACACATTTGATGCTACATATATAGTCAATATAGGATAACAGAATTCACCAATTTTCCACATATATTATAGTAACTTGACTCGAATTTACACGTAAATTTCGAAGATGAATTTTCATTAGGAGAAGCAATCAAATTTGTCAGGTTGGTACGGTAATGGGTATTTCATGTGTGAAAATTTAGATTCCAACCATATATGTCGGGGCATGTATCATTGACCTTCTTCTATATATCTATACGGGTGCCGAACCAGAAAATCGTGTCAGGGTGGACACAAATATTTTAACAAACTAAATATATATATAGTTTTTACAATCGATAGAAATAAGATAATAATTTATTTAATTACGTCATATTTAATACTTAAAAATACATTAAATCCAATAGACCAAAATTTAATAAGCCTAGTATATACAAACAACAACAATAAAAAAAACTAATTATATCTTTTTACATAATATAAGTTAATTAAAATCATTTATAATTGACTCCGGTAAATTTTCATCATTGGAAATCATTGTAAAACAACTTTATTATTTTTTATATACACAATCATGTTATCACTTCAGTATTTATCACTTATTCGATTATACAGTTCAATGCATAATCTATAATGTCTACCATAATTAATAAAATAAATGTCAAAATTATAAGTAAAGTAGTTAATGTGTATGTCATGTCTTTTCTAATATTAGAAAATATAAAATGATTCTAATATATTTAAAATTTATCTAGATAGGTATCTACCATGTCCAAAATGTGTCAAAAATTAAGTGTACACTAATTGATATGCCAAAAAAATAGCGTGAAAATATTAAAAAAATATTTAAAATACATATAGGTAATATTAAGAAAAAAAATTTGAAGATGTAATCAACCAGGTTCTGTATTCACTTTGAGTGTTTGATTTAAGTGGTGGTGGGCCTAAATTTTTTTTTTAAGTGATTATTTAAACACAACACTACCCTTCAGAACACCAATTAACAATTCCATTAATATTAGGAATTATGTCATTTGTACTCCATTGATAGTAAAAATGTGGGGGTGATTAGACATAATAGCACAATTATGTATTAAACTCAACAGATGCANTTTATCTTCTGGAGTCTGGTATCCGAAAAAGACTCGTTACCTGGACAAGGATGAGGTTAAGGTACCAAAAAAAAAAAATTATAATTTTTTCTTTGGTCCGGTCAAAAGCAGGTTATCCACACCAAAATTAGGGTATTCATGAAAAATAAATCATTCATTATCTGGCTCCAAGAAATTACTAAGATTCAAACTCATGACGTCTAAATTTATAATTCGTCTTTATTATCACTTGAACTATCTTTTCGGACTGATGATATTAATTCTAAATGTGACAAATTGAGCCACTTGGTCCACATGATGTACCCCCCAAAGAGTTTCGGTTAGAAGCCACCACCCAAAGCCNAGGCTTATCTATTAGTTGATGATTATTTTAGTTAATGTTTTTGCTGGCATCATACAATTTGAGGTTGTTAATTATTGCATACGTACGTTGTATGGAAACTACTTTGAGCTATAATTTTTATTATTTATTTATTTTTATAATTTTTGAATATTGTGTTTACATTGATCATTCACGTGTGCATATATATATATATATATATATATATATAATATTAGAGTTAAAATATGGAATTCTCAATTTATAAAAGTACAATAAAGATCAAAATTGATTTCATTTTTATCTATTCAGTTCAATTTTTTTCCAACTCAAAAATATCATCTTCTCTGCACAACCCAATCAACACGCTCCTCAATGGCAGACAACCACACTAATTCAAAAACATATATTTATCTCTTATTTTTTTTCTGTTCACTTTAATTTTAAATTACATAATTAGAGAAAATAAAATTTTTATTTAAAATATAAAATATTGTACAATCAATGCTCAATTTTTTTATATTACAGTATTATAGTGTGACTTCAGGCATGTATTATTGTCAATTACTAATATATCTTGTGTAACTAATAAAAATCACTAATGATGATTTTTCAAATTACATGTCTCCCATAAATTTCGGCTTTTGATTCTATGGCCAAATATAAAGTTGATGCAGTAATAAATATCTTATTTTTGGGTAATAAAAATAACCATACAGGTGAGGCACTTGAGCAATTAACTTTTGATTATTAATTTGTTAATAGATATAGATACTTATGAAAGATTGCAAGAGTCCAAAATATTTGGAAGTTATAGAGTTAGAAGAAGGGCTAGAATTTGTATTCTAATTTTGATATTTAAGGAATATGAAAGTTAACAAAATAATTAAGAAGTTTAAGAAAAACANATATATATATATAAAGAGAGAGAGAGAGAGAGAGAAAAGAAGAAGAAGAAGAAGAAGAAGAGCTCATCACACAGTAAGATGAGCAAAGCCAAATGTTTATTTCATCATATGACATATTAAATAGTTATCCAAGCCATCTTTGTGTCATTCATGGAAAAACATCCATTTTCCATGCCATGTTGCCTCTTATTCAACCAAAGAAAGATAAGCACAAGACCTTTTTTTTTTTTTAGTTTACTAATAATGAGTAAAATAGCTTCTTATTTTGGATGGCTTGAAATTTCTCCTGTGAACCTTCAAACCCTGTAAACAGAAGAAAAACAACGTATTTTGTTAGGGCACACTTAACTACTTGGAAATAATGCATATATAGGTGAATAATATTAATTTACAAGAATGCATCCAGTTGGTCGCTTGACTAGGGGTGCAAACGAAGCGAGTTTTTCATGAATAATTCTTCATAACAGTTCTGAATCGTCTCAAATAATTGTTTTTTGTCAATTTATCAAAAGAATCGAGCATGTACTCAATTTTAAAGCGTACATAGTAAATTAGTTGAATCTGAACAATGAAATCTTCATCTCGTTAGCCTTGTGAACATGCATGTTTATTATATTTTGTGCATGTTATAACTTAATATATAATTATGTGTAAACAAGTACAGCTTCATCTTATACACAAGTCTAAACTCGAGTACACACTAAAAATTAATGAGCTTGGCTTCACTAGCGGAGGCACATTAGGCCTAGAAGCCTTTTCCCACCTTCAAATTCCTGTCTATATTTTTTAAATTTATTTGTGCTCACCCTAAACACTCTATCGGTTGTAAATTCAGACGTCTTTAATTCGAACATTGACAACTCCTTAAGGTTAGGCCATGAGGGATTTATCCCTCGTAAATTCCTTAATCTCGACATGAATGACATGCCTTTGACTGAACCAAAGATGAGATTAATCAAGGTGTGTGTAAATTGCATCTAGACACCTCTGATCGTTGGAAAAAAACAAATAGTCTACCGAACAATTTGATGCCCGGATCCATTNATTTGACTGAACCAAAGATGAGATTAATCAAGGTGTGTGTAAATTGCATCTAGACACTTCTGATCGTTGGAAAAAAACAAATAGTCTACCGAACAATTTGATGCCCGGATCCATTCAATTTATTTACACTCACTCTGATCTCACCACTGAAAATTAAAAAAAATGCGAGAAAAAAAGAGTTAAAAAAGAGTTTATGTGATGTATTACTGAGTGAAGTCGATGTTGATTCTCCCAGCATCAGGATTAGCAATGGCAGAGAAGGCTTCAAGAGAGAGATCGAGGCCGTTCGATGGGCAGCCAGGACAGAGATCGACGACCGTCACAGTCACGCTACCACCCTTACATGCCCCTGCAGGTCCTGTGCACGAAACGCTGAACCTTGTTCCACATATTGCTCCATTGTTATATAGGTCCGGACTTGCTGCAGCAATCATCGTGCCTTGGTCTTGGTACCCATAGCATGCTGAGGCTGCAAACAAAACAATATAGTTTACAGTAAGGTTAGTAAGGTTGGTTTTAAAACCTATCATAACTTGTGTTTTTTGGATGGCAATATTGAATTCCTCATTTGGAAAAGACTACTTATTATATATATCCAAAAATTTGATATTAGTACGATTTAATCAAGTCAAATTATGACTCAGTTATGTCAAAATTACGACTAAAGAAATCCGAATCACCTCCATTGAATCGTAATATCCCATTTGAGTTATAACTTGCCGTGATTGAATTGTATCTTCAGTCCAGTAATAAAAATATAATTTGCTACTATAGGCTTTTCCTCATTTTCTGACTATACATAAAATATTTTGCTACTACAGTTTACATACTACATCATTCCATTCCAATATTATAACTGCAACCATGACACAAACCACACCCACATATAAATGTAGGCTGAAATTCAAAGGGTGATCTATAGCCCAAAACAGTTGCACAATGATAATCTTGCAGCTCAAAATTTGAACTCGAATCCTACCCATACAATTCTAATTGTGTTCAAGTCGGATAGAAGTTCATCAATTGAATGTCGACCCTAATTCAGATGATTCAAATTCTATGCAATCCAGAAAGAGGGAGAGAATAAGTATACTTACGGACATATACTGTGTAGTATGTGGCAATCCCAGGAACGGCGGATGCAGCAGAAATTAGTGTTGTGACCATAAACGCCACAATGATAAGACGTGAAATTGCCATTTTCCTTTGATCTATTTGTGGGACAAAACCTTAAGCTAGCTCTCCACCTTACTACACTTGCACAAGTACACAGTGTGCTATGAATAAAATTTGATAGCCGAATGGTCCTATTTATAGAACCAGATTGTGTTCTTTGGTAACCAAGCAGTCTTTACACGTTTTCTTGGTCTTTTTTTCTTTTGGTAAATGTTTTCAACTCTATAGGAATAAATTATCGCTAGAAGGGACTAGTAGTTGTCTATGGTTTCGTAATCATCTCAAATAAATGTTATTTATCTTCTGGAGTCTGGTATCCGAAAAAGACTCGTTACCTGGACAAGGATGAGGTTAAGGTACCAAAAAAAAAAAATTATAATTTTTTCTTTGGTCCGGTCAAAAGCAGGTTATCCACACCAAAATTAGGGTATTCATGAAAAATAAATCATTCATTATCTGGCTCCAAGAAATTACTAAGATTCAAACTCATGACGTCTAAATTTATAATTCGTCTTTATTATCACTTGAACTATCTTTTCGGACTGATGATATTAATTCTAAATGTGACAAATTGAGCCACTTGGTCCACATGATGTACCCCCCAAAGAGTTTCGGTTAGAAGCCACCACCCAAAGCCGTGCCAAACTTTGCTTGAAATCATGCATAGAACAAGGACACATTTGATGCTACATATATAGTCAATATAGGATAACAGAATTCACCAATTTTCCACATATATTATAGTAACTTGACTCGAATTTACACGTAAATTTCGAAGATGAATTTTCATTAGGAGAAGCAATCAAATTTGTCAGGTTGGTACGGTAATGGGTATTTCATGTGTGAAAATTTAGATTCCAACCATATATGTCGGGGCATGTATCATTGACCTTCTTCTATATATCTATACGGGTGCCGAACCAGAAAATCGTGTCAGGGTGGACACAAATATTTTAACAAACTAAATATATATATAGTTTTTACAATCGATAGAAATAAGATAATAATTTATTTAATTACGTCATATTTAATACTTAAAAATACATTAAATCCAATAGACCAAAATTTAATAAGCCTAGTATATACAAACAACAACAATAAAAAAAACTAATTATATCTTTTTACATAATATAAGTTAATTAAAATCATTTATAATTGACTCCGGTAAATTTTCATCATTGGAAATCATTGTATAACAACTTTATTATTTTTTATATACACAATCATGTTATCACTTCAGTATTTATCACCTATTCGATTATACAGTTCAATGCGTAATCTATAATGTCTACCATAATTAATAAAATAAATGTCAAAATTATAAGTAAAGTAGTTAATATGTATGTCATGTCTTTTCTAATATTAGAAAATATAAAATGATTCTAGTATATTTAAAATTTATCTAGATAGGTATCTACCATGTCCAAAATGTGTCAAAAATTAAGTGTACACTAATTGATATGCCAAAAAAATAGCGTGAAAATATTAAAAAAATATTTAAAATACATATAGGTAATATTAAGAAAAAAAATTTGAAGATGTAATCAACCAGGTTCTGTATTTACTTTGAGTGTTTGATTTAAGTGGTGGTGGGCCTAAATTTTTTTTTTAAGTGATTATTTAAACACAACACTACCCTTCAGAACACCAATTAACAATTCCATTAATATTAGGAATTATGTCATTTGTACTCCATTGATAGTAAAAATGTGGGGGTGATTAGACATAATAGCACAATTATGTATTAAACTCAACAGATGCAATATATGCAATCTAATAAGGCTTATCTATTAGTTGATGATTATTTTAGTTAATGTTTTTGCTGGCATCATACAATTTGAGGTTGTTAATTATTGCATACGTACGTTGTATGGAAACTACTTTGAGCTATAATTTTTATTATTTATTTATTTTTATAATTTTTGAATATTGTGTTTACATTGATCATTCACGTGTGCATATATATATATATATATATATATATATATTTAATATTAGAGTTAAAATATTGAATTCTCAATTTATAAAAGTACAATAAAGATCAAAATTGATTTCATTTTTATCTATTCAGTTCAATTTTTTCCCACTAAAAAATATCATCTTCTCTGCACAACCCAATCAACACGCTCCTCAATGGCAGACAACCACACTAATTCAAAAACATATATTTATCTCTTATTTTTTTTCTGTTCACTTTAATTTTAAATTACATAATTAGAGAAAATAAAATTTTTATTTAAAATATAAAATATTGTACAATCAATGCTCAATTTTTTTATATTACAGTATTATAGTGTGACTTCAGGCATGTATTATTGTCAATTACTAATATATCTTGTGTAACTAATAAAAATCACTAATGATGATTTTTCAAATTACATGTCTCCCATAAATTTCGGCTTTTGATTCTATGGCCAAATATAAAGTTGATGCAGTAATAAATATCTTATTTTTGGGTAATAAAAATAACCATACAGGTGAGGCACTTGAGCAATTAACTTTTGATTATTAATTTGTTAATAGATATAGATACTTATGAAAGATTGCAAGAGTCCAAAATATTTGGAAGTTATAGAGTTAGAAGAAGGGCTAGAATTTGTATTCTAATTTTGATATTTAAGGAATATGAAAGTTAACAAAATAATTAAGAAGTTTAAGAAAAACAGTAAGATCAAAACACACATTATGGGTGTAAGTTGATTAATTAAACCAAGATTTTCTTAATCTGCTACATAGTATTAGTAGTAATAATAATAATAATAATAATTAATATTTAATTTGATTACTTGGATCATAAAGATCATATGCTTGTTGAAGAAATCCGAATAACGATGAAATAAAAATCTGGATGGGTGTAAGTTTTTTGTTTCTGTCAAAGTTAGTTCTAGAAGGGCCAGCTTATTGAATGAGTTTTTGCTTGTTTTTGTTGCAAACTTGTATTGCGTTGGATTATATTGAATATGAAATATTGCTAGAGAAAAAGCACAATATATGTGGCCTTCGTGTAGCCTTGTAGATTGCAGAATTTTGGGTTTGGTTTCTTAAAATGTTTATTTGTTCACTTGACCCGAGAATATGTATGTAAAAGGAGACTATTTTTAGTATCCTCAATTGAATCAATGATCAAATTACGTACCTTTTCAATTTTATTTCATTTGTGTCACGATTTTTAGTTTATCTTTTAATCTAGAGTTATTTACGGGGAAAATTAAACCTATATTTTAATGTAAAAATGTATTTAAAAAATATGCTTTTAACTAATAAAAAATATCGGAAGCATGTTTTGAATACATTTTTACATTGGAAAAGGGTGGATGAAATCAATCTTTCCCGTGAACAATGATAGATTAAAAAATAAGATGGAAATCACTATACATAAAAAAAAATTATATATATTATAAAAAACTTCAGTTGAAAACTCATCCTAAATCTTCCTAATCATTTGACTATCCTAGTAAAGTTTTTTTAAGAGATAGGTGGGAAACTCAATTCTTATTTTTTCAAAGAAATTTCACAAAAAGAGTCAATGTGACGATGCAAGAGGAAGACCGTTACCAACTTGACACACAATTGAGCTTCAAATCTGAATCAGTACCTATTGGTCATGGCTCAGAAAATGAATCAAAAAAAAATATGAATGTATATTTAAGAGAAGATGTGGATACATTGTAGATAGCTCGGGGAGAAACTTTTGAATTCTTCATCGACTAATTTGAGAACAGTGAATAGACCTCTCCCTTTGCAACGTTAATCTTAAAAAATTCAGAGATTTTTTTGAAGACCAATTGAAAATAAGAGATCAAATATAAAAAATAGGAAATACTTTGAAAACAATAATAGTAACAATAACACTTTGAAGGGCCAAGTGCGAGTGACCTTGAATGACGCCTTCCCACCACCACCGCTCTCCGTTGAGTTGTACGCTAATCCTTTCTGTTGTGTAGCAATAAGAATGCATCATTAACTATATCATGAACAAGAAGATGAGTGTTTTTCTAAGAATGCACCTTTGTGTCTTATTTACTATAGTAAGTGTATATTTAATGCATATACTGACCACATTTAAATATTGTCGATTGAAGTTAAGAATACATTTAGTGATAGAATACTAAAAGACATATAAGGAGTGCAGTTAAGCAAGGGAATTGCAATGGTTAGCAAAAGTGAAAAATGGAAAATGACTTTATCAAATTGTTTAAGGGTATATTAGAAAAATAAAAGTTTTTCACTCCAAGTACTTTTTATTAGTAGTATAGATATTTGAGTGGCAGATAACCTACCCGAGTTCCTTCATTAAGGAAAATATATTTTGGTTTTACGTAAATAATTGTCATTTTGGTTGTTACAACTCTTCATATCTTTAGTTAATGTTAGTCATTTCAACTCTTTAAATTCTTTTCCCAAATTCAGTAACTTTGCATATAGTTTAAAAACTGGCTCCTTATTCTTCCAATCTCTACTTCAACTTTATCACATCAACTNAATCAGTACCTATCGGTCATGGCTCAGCAAATGAATCAAAAAAAAAAATATGAATGTATATTTAAGAGAAGATGTGGATACATTGTAGATAGCTCGGGGAGAAACTTTTGAATTCTTCATCGACTAATTTGAGAACAGTGAATAGACCTCTCCCTTTGCAACGTTAATCTTAAAAAATTCAGAGATTTTTTTGAAGACCAATTGAAAATAAGAGATCAAATATAAAAAATAGGAAATACTTTGAAAACAATAATAGTAACAATAACACTTTGAAGGGCCAAGTGCGAGTGACCTTGAATGACGCCTTCCCACCACCACCGCTCTCCGTTGAGTTGTACGCTAATCCTTTCTGTTGTGTAGCAATAAGAATGCATCATTAACTATATCATGAACAAGAAGATGAGTGCTTTTCTAAGAATGCACCTTTGTGTCTTATTTACTATAGTAAGTGTATATTTAATGCATATACTGACCACATTTAAATATTGTCGATTGAAGTTAAGAATACATTTAGTGATAGAATACTAAAAGACATATAAGGAGTGCAATTAAGCAAGGGAATTGCAATGGTTAGCAAAAGTGAAAAATGGAAAATGACTTTATCAAATTGTTTAAGGGTATATTA